CAAGCCTCAAACCACAACACATCTCTACTGTATATCCCATCTGTGTGGTTTTTGCTACACAAATGTAAGACTTAGTCTGTGCTTTGGTCCCCCTGCATTCATGTTGGAGTTGTCTTCAGAATGCCTCTAGGCCACGTGCCACTGAGAAGATAGTTTCATGCTCAAGAAAAAGGAGGTCTATTTGGCTGAGGATAAATGACATTAATGAGATATTTTGCATGAGCTGTTGACACTCTGAAGTATGATGATGACAGGTTCAGCTTGTGATGTTGTTTTAACATTTTGTTTTTCTTTACAGCTTTCTGGGTACTCAGCCTCTGTTTTGTTTACTCCAACAGAGGAAGAGAGTTCAGCTTCAGTCAGTGCTGCTTCCTCTGTTGTTTTGATGAAATGTAATGTATAACTTAGTTTTTCCTCAAATCCCCAGACAGCACAAAGGCCAGTGGCAAAAGAGTTGTAGGAGATGTGGCATACAATACAGCAAAGGAAAAAGCCTCCTACATCACCCCAGTTCCTGGTGGCGTTGGGCCTATGACTGTGGCCATGTTAATGCAGGTATGTGGGCAGGCTGTGAAACTACTGGTCAACTCCTCTGCACTTGCCTTTGGGGGATATTGCTGCTGACCATCAGCACACTACCAAAGAAACTGGTGCTTCCTTCTTGCTCTTCCTGAGATCAAGTAAGGATTTCTGACTTCTAGCCCAAACAATTTGGATTAAGTTAACAAATAAAGAAGATGGACCTTAAGGGAATGTTAAGACAGGCTTTTTGGTTAGGTCTTTTTTTTTTTTTTTATGAGGGTGTTTGTTTTGATGGCAGTGTCTCAAAACAGTGAGAAGTGGATTTGTCTAACAATGCTCTGGCTGTAATAGTGAAACTATCCACAGAGTGACTGGATAAAAAGGAGAAGAGTAACAGTATAAGCCAGCTCCCTCTGTTTCCTGCTTTGCTTAAGAAACCCTTCAGGCACAGAACACCCCAAAAAATCCAGCATGACTGGAACATACATAGGTAGATAGAAAGACAACATGGTATTTTTTTTTTTTTTTTTTTTTTTTCCTTTGTAAGAAAACTACAAGCAGAATCTCATATTGGTTTGAAGCACATTGTGTTAATCCCAAACTGGAACAGATGGGAGGAGAAAACCTTTCTGAGTCTTTGTTAGCCAGCATGGTTCATACAGTGATGGTTGCTATAATGCATTCTCATGCTTGTTGTAGAGCACCGTGGAGAGCGCGCAGCGTTTCCTGGAGAAGTTCCAGCCTGGAAAATGGAACATCCATTATAACCAGCTTACCCTAAAGATGCCTGTTCCAAGGTAATGCTTTCAAATGAAGCCATTGGCACTATTCATGCAGTACAGTATTTGCTTCTGCTCCCAAGCTTTCTGTAGTACAGGGCACACATGTACATAGACTTTAGCTGGTGTTGAAATTTGGAGAGAAGTAGAGAGAAAACACTGTGAGACCTTCCTAAGGGTGCAGAGCTGACCTGCAGTGGTGCTGTGATATATGCTGAAGTAGTGGGTTATCCTGACAGTATTAAGGTGTAACCATGGACTCTTTAGGCCAGCTAGATAGTTGCTGATCCACCGACATTTGTTATTTGGAAAATTTTTAGTCTGACGTGGCAAAAACCTAATGTCTTGAAGTAGGAGTTGTTGATGCTAAGTCCCCAAGGAGCAGTTGAAAAATACACAACACTATAGGGAAGCATAACACATTGCCTACAAAAAGGCTTTCTTAGGGTGGGAGGAGTGGGGGAGGGATGGTGAAAGGTTTTTTGTTTTTTGATTTGGGTTTTTTCCCTTAAAAAAAACAACAGAGGCTCTGTCTGTTCTAATGTAGCAAATATTGGTGGAATTGATTAACTAGAAGGGGCTAAAGCTTCCCTTCTAAAATATAGATTAGGTGTTTGCAGTTTATGCCATCCAGAAGCAGGGGCTCTGTGAGAAGTCTTTGACTTATAAATTGACCTTGCTCTCTTTCTTTAAGCGACATAGAAATATCTCAGTCTTGCATGCCCAAGCCCATTGATCAGGTTGCAAAAGAAGTTGGCCTGCTCCCTGATGAGGTCGAGCTCTACGGCCAGACTAAAGCCAAGGTTCATCTGTCAGCTCTGAAGCGGCTGAAGAACCAGCCAGATGGCAAATACGTTGTCGTTACTGGGTAGGTACTTCCTGAACTGAGGCATCATTTATATGATATCAAGGTGAAAAACTCTTATTTGCATGATTTGTCATTGTCTTGTCCTTTGGTAAAGTGACTATATAGGGTACTTGGTGTTTTTATATGTCACGCTCTGAAAAACCTAGTGGTTTGGGAAATAAATTTATCTCTTGTTGTAAATAGTGAGAATGTAGTTTAACAATTTTGTCCTGATGATGAATTGTTTTGGTCTGCAGGTCAGGGTTCTGAGAGGCAGGCCAGATTGTAGTCAAAAATTCTCCTACTCTAGTAGCCTGCTTCCAACAGTAACTAGCAAGTTGTTTCAGAGAGGGGTCTTTGGCAGTTACATGATAACTTGCCAATCTCATTCCAGTTTTGAACTGTTAAAGATTAGCTGAAGTCTGAGCAAATCCTGAATTTGAATTGGTATTAACTGCAATCACTGGGTGGTTGTTTTATCCCTGTAAGTGTTTCGAGTCTCGCCCACTACAAGAGTTTAACTGTCTGTTCTGCTTTTTCACTGCAGGATAACTCCTACTCCCCTGGGAGAGGGGAAAAGCACCACCACTGTCGGCCTTGTTCAAGCCCTAGGAGCCCACCTTCACCAGAATGTCTTTGCCTGTGTTCGGCAACCTTCTCAGGGGCCAACCTTTGGTATAAAAGGTATGAGCTGCTCTGTTGCATGCAGTTGGACTCAATGGGGAAAGGTGGCATTTGGAGATTTTATTCTGCTGCATTGTGATTTCACGTAATTCCCAGTTACATTTCTTTTAAGAGAGAAAAATCTTGGGTAAGTTCTTCAGTGCTGTCTTTAAGTGCTGTGCCGGGATTTAAACTAAGTTGCTTGACAGGAGCTATTTTCTTAAAGTAAAGAAAGCAAACTTAAGCAAACACATGTAATACCACTTTGGGTATTACATGTGAGAGAGAACTTTATTTGCATGATTTGATTATTGTCTCTCTGTAGGTGGAGCTGCAGGTGGTGGCTATTGTCAAGTTATCCCCATGGAAGAGGTAATTCTTGATACAGAACCTCCTTGCACGTATAGCTCACAGACCTTGAAGCAATACTGCAGACAGATAACTTAAAAAATCTCCTTTGTTTATTGGCCCAATGTAGCGCTTTCAAGAACTGGATGCTTCAATTTGGCAAAGCTTCTCCCTCAAAAGAAAAAAAAAATCTCTGGTTGTTTCAGAAGGGTGCCTGCCTGGTCAAGGAACTTCACAGAACTGGGAATTCCCAGTTTTGCTATTCACTCTCCTTCTCTGCCTTGAATTGCTGTATACCCTTGAGCAAAGTACATCCTGTGCCTCTTCTTCCCAGCACTGAAATGAAAATGATAATGACTTAATATGTTTTGGAAGCATATTAAGTAGTTCTGTCAGCAGCAGCAGTGGTCACTGACTCTTCCTGTGAGCTATTTTGGTGTACTTGTGTTTTAGATTACTAACACAAAATGGGAAAAGGGAAGCTGGGAGTCAGTAATGCCAAGACCTCAGCCAGTGGGGGACTGGCACTGCAGCATATTTCTGACGTGACTTGGCAACAAGTAAAATCCCCTGTCTGGGGGCAGGGAATTGAAAGGCACGTGTAGCACGTGCTGTTGTGCTTCTCTCAACTCTCAGAGTAATTGCATGTAGAATTCCACCTTTGTCTCATGTACTATAGATTGACGCAGGGCAATTATAGGAAGAAAAGCAGAAATGATCAAAAGGGCTGTTTGTTCTAATTGATGCATAAAGGCCATAAAAGATAAAAATGTTAAGGAGGCAGAATACTGATTTAGTCAGGTGCCAAGAACGTGTGAATGATAGATGTGACAGGAAAAATAATCTCCTCCTCTCTGGGAGTGTTAGTAAGATGAGCCAAAATACTTGACTGTGTGCAGCAGTGGGAAACAGCCCCTCTCTTGGAACCAAATTGGCTGAAAGGACTTCCTTGAAGTGTGACCCCCAAGGTATAAATACACGTAGCCTTGGGGGGGTGTTTTAATCCATGCATGACTCGTACAACTGAAGTCTCTGCAGTCACAAGTTACAGTAATGACCTTGGTACATCACTCAATATTTCTGCATGTGGCTTTCATCCTAGGAAAAGATTAGCAAGTGAAAGACTTTTGAGTTCATACTGCAGGACCAAGGTAGTAATAATTGCTTCTTCTTGTATGTATGTAGAGTGAGACAACAATTAGCATTTACTAATTAGGATTTATAATCAGCATGTAACTAGCTGCATTCTGCTTTTAGCTATCTGGGTTTTTTTAAGATCACAGTAGCAAGGCTTCAACAAAATGGTATTGTAAGGTCTTCTGTCATGTCACTTTTTTTTAAAGTTACCTTTTAATCCTCCTCCTTTGCTCTGCTACAGAGGAGGAGGATTGTTTTACCCACACCATCCACTCCTGGCGTAATGCAGGTTTGTCAGACAAGCTATATATCCCAAGCCATTTGTCAGTATAGCCATGGCACAGCCAGCTAATTCATGTAGGTAGGCAAACCCACTCAAACTATCTTTTAATGAGGCAGAACCAAGAAAACTACTAGCAGTGTCACTGTGTAGTACGTGGTCTACAAGTTCTGCCTACGACAGTTCTGCCTACGACACTGCGTTTGAGTGGTTAGCTCATGCAGAGCTCTGTGCAACCACAGCTCTGCTGCTAGCACTGCACCAGGTTGTTAGTTTCAGTTTAGCTCAAGATGTCTTTGTGGGAGCAGCAGCAGCTTCAGCTAACGTATGTGTGAAACCTTTAGTACAAATAATGAGAATGGGTCAGAAGGAAGGTGAAGGAGGAGCAATGCAGATGTGCCATGCCATGGTCTTTATAAATGTCAAGGAGCCTGTGAGAGCTGTTCTCATGGGAAGAAAAAAACACACCTTTTTATTTGGAAGCTTCATTCTGGAAGTTTGTAAAATGACATAAATGTGGGGGAGGGATTTTTCTGTTTTAGAGAAAAAAAAAAAACACTTTTTTCCTCTCTTCCACATACTGCACTGAGCAATCTCTCCCCCTCCACCCTCATCCACTTTAACATTACTATTAATACTTCTCTTTCCATCTGTCTGTGATGAATTGAATAAATGAAAATTGCAGCAGGATGAGGTAAATGATACCTTTTATCTCCTTTAGTTTAACCTTCATCTCACTGGTGACATCCATGCTATCACTGCGGCCAACAACCTGGTTGCTGCTGCTATCGATGCACGTATATTCCATGAGCTAACTCAGACTGACCAGGTATGATCATTTCTTATGGTGCATCTGAGCACAGCTCACTTCGGCCAAAGTGTTTCGGGTGTGCCAGCAGTGCTAACTAATTACCTGTTTCATTCTGCAAGGCTCTCTACACCCGTTTGGTGCCTTCTGTCAACGGTGTTAGGAAGTTCTCAGACATTCAGATGCGAAGACTGCAGGTAAGTTCACTGGTTTCGCATTGGTTTCTGGTTCTGTTCCATTTACTCATGCTTTATGTGGGCAGAGCTAGGTTACAGAAACCCTCATGTTGTGTAGATCATTGTGTGCTGGCATTTATTTTTAACATGAAGTGTGCAGCAGTGCAGTTAGCCGTTCTTACAGCACAGGTAAAAGCGAAATGCAGCCCCAAGGGAACGAGTCATTGATGTAACTCTCTTTAACATATGCTCTGAGGAGCACAGCAGGAAGAGACAAAGGGATTAGTGCCCTTGATGCAGTTTAAGAAAGGATCAGAATCAGTCTCTCTGTACCTTACACCCAGTTATGGCTTGAAATGAGTAGCTCCTGTATGACATCTAGATGGATGGTCCAGCACAAAAAAGGCAATTTATAATATTTTCTTAAGAGAGATTGAGAATTTTTGTCTTATCCAGATTGAGAAAACAGAGGAAAATAGAAAAAAATACCTGTCCCCTACATTGCCTGCTCTTCTTCCCATAAAAGAATTCCTGGTTAAATGAGTAGCCCTCTCATTGAGTGGCAGTCCCTGAGCAGACCACAGCTCCTCTGATGCACAGAAATGAATGTGAATTGGCATGTGTCCCTGACCTCTGCAAAAATTAGGATTAACAGGGGAATGATTTTGCACTGGGCTTGGACCTTCTGGCTAGCAGGATGGCCTGGGGCTGGCTAAACTCATTTGAAGTACAAACCTTTTTGTAGAGGATTTGGGCTGGAACAGTTGCACATTTGGAAGTTGGGAGCAATAGTTAGAGTTTTAGCATCTTAAGTAGTCCGTTTTATTAATTGGCAACATGACGACCATTAGAGGTTTGCTTCCCCTGTTGAGCAGAGAAGCTACATCATATTGCTTTGTGTTCCTGAGGGAACTCTGCCCTGACCACCTTTCTGGTTATTAAATGCTGAGATGTGAACAGGGTGCTAATACTCCAGAAAGATGGTATTTTTTTTGTGTTTATTTCTTTTTCTAAATGATGTGTTTGAAGAGGAGGAGAACAGACTTTCTTCTTCCCTGCTGTTCTTCAGGAGAAAAATATGACTTAGCTGTGTAGTTAATTAAAAAAAGCTTGCTCCTCGTTCATAAATCAACTGAATCGTTTTCCTCATTCCTAAGCTTGTGCTTCTATCAGGCTTCTTGAGATAATTCTTCTCTCAATTAAGCAACCTGGCAAACTGCCCATCCACTCAGTATGTTCAAGATCAGCTTTCTGGGATGCTGACAGCCTTGTGACTGAATTGTTTAATTCCTGCTTTGTGCTGCTTAACCAGCATGCTGAAAGCAGTGTCTTTAAATGCGTTCGGCTGTGTGCAGTGACCCCAGGCACACTAATGAGAAATGGATGTAAGCATGTGAGACTAATGATGAGAACAAGGCGTGTGAGGAACTGCAGCGCTCACCCTCTTCATCTTCCTGTAGGTGCCTTGCACAGAGCTTGGTGACAGCCTGCCCTAATGAGCTCTGTTGTCTGCCTTGCCTTTTACTAGCTGACCAGCAGCAAGTTCTGCTTCCAGATGCACGCTGATCTGGATCATCACAGGGGGGTCTTGGACAAGGGGTGCCAAAAGGCAGCCCCTCCTTATTTCTGAATATGCAGATGATGCTGCCAAAAGCTCATTGCTCTAGTGAAAGGTTTGTTTCTGTGAATCTTTTCATTGTGTCTCTTATTTTCTTTTGTCTTTTCCTCCCATAGAAACTGGGCATTAACAAAACTGATCCCACTACTTTGACAAAGGAAGAAGTAAACTTATTTGTGAGATTGGACATTGACCCAGGCACCATAACGTGGCAAAGAGGTACAAGAGCCGTTCAATGAAAGAATTACTAATAAACAAAATGTGTGTCAAAAGAGGGGCTTACAAGTGCAGCAGAAACTCTGTTCTCTGGGCTAATGAGAAGGAGGGCAGGGCCAGCCTTTCCTCCTAGGTGTTCGGGATAAATGCCTGCAGCTGGGCTCCCATTTCTAAAGGGTCTGATGCAGGGGCTTGAATCTGCTCTGAATTCACAGACATTAAGACTTTACTAATTGGTGCAAGTTTGTGTTTCTGGATTTGTCAGTTAGTGAGAGAGTCAAGTTTGGCCACTGTAGCCAACAACCTTTTTACCTGACTTGGAGAGCTCTGTGAGCAATGAGAGGAGAGGGTTCTGCTCTGGGATTAAACTCAGTTTTAATCTGCTCACTTGCTCTGTTGGGGACTGACAACAAACAAAAGCCAGATTTTAAAAAGTTTTTTAAATATGCCTGAAGGTAAGATCAGTCTCTGGTCTGGCAGACTGTATATTTCACGAGCGCAAAAAAGTTTCAAATATGGACATATTTTTGTTTTAGACCCTAGGAGCATTCATCTTGCTTCTTTTTGTTAAAACAGTGTGAAATGTATTCTTTTGCTTCATAGCCAACTGTAATGGGGCTAAAGTAGTCTGTCTTATGGGAAATAATTTATAAAATACTTAGAATTTTTCAAGCAAATAGTAAGAAACAGCCAATTGAACCCAGTGTTTGATAGTTAGTGTTTCCAAGGTAATTTGACTTAATGGGGCTGTGTGAAACTTCTCACTAAATGGTAGAATCTGCCCACTTTATCACTTAACTTAAAATAATAATTTTCTTTTTGGCTGCAATAACTTTCTTATTTCGCATTGATGATAGTAAAAAAGCAGTTGGAATAATACTGGCAGCTTTGCTTTTCAGAGAGGCTTTGGACTTGTGGTTAATGCACACAAAGGGGGGTAGACTCCCTCTGGATGCAATGCAGGGTGTTCACGTGACTGGGTATCTTCACTTTGCAGTTCAGTTTTGGGGAAGAATCACGTTGAGTAGCACTTGCCGTTCTCTAGGAGGGCATGGTAGCTCAGACTGCCATCCTCTCTCCATAGGTGATTAGCTCAGTGTTTGTAACAGGGCAGAGGTGTGACTTGCAACTTGCAGTATGACTTCTGTTTTTCTCTGCATTCCTCGCAGTACTGGACACAAATGACAGATTCCTTAGGAAGATCACTATTGGACAGTCTCCAACAGAAAAAGGCTTCTCACGGACGGTAATTGTTCCCTTTCCTTGAATGTCTTAAAGTACTTTGAAGGACATGGTCCTAAAGTAAGTCTCTGTAACTCAAGATACTTCTGTGTTTTACCAATGCCTTGTTAAAGAGAAAGCAGGAAATCCTTGAACCCCAAGCAGTTAAATACCTGTGCAGTATTTAGTTTTATTGTCTGTTTCCTCCTTCCATGTTCTTTCCTAATGTTGGCTTCCCAAACTGAAATAACTGTGGCAGAATAACAGTCGTTCACAAGTGCCTTCTTCATATTTGCATGATGCATGTCCATGGCTAATCTTCCCCATTACAGATACCTAGGGTGGGATGTATCTGGCCAAAACTAGACACAGCATCTGAGCTTGTCTAGATTAATGATATAATCAATAGAGTGAAATAGGCAATCTGGGCTGTGACTTCTCTCATCCCTTAAGTAACTGTCAAGTTAATAGTTCAGATTAATTGTGCTCAGAAAAGCTTGCTTCTTATTGACTTGAAATGTCCCTAGGGTGTTTAGCTTTGATGGAGATGTCTGTGTTATGTCAGATGAATTCTACCCTTCATTTCCTATAGAATCTAAATTTTTGTTTTGGGTTTGTTTGGCCATTTACTGTACTGTTTAGTGATAGTCAGATGAGTTAGTAAGCTCAGTCTTCAAAAATACTTGTTAACATTAAGCATTCTTACATGAATCACTAATGTATGTGCCAGGAGTGAGTCAGGTAACAGCAATGGAATAAGTAGTTTTTAACTTAATTTTGAAGACAAAAATGCAGTTTAGAATGGTCAGATTTAAATGAAGTGTGTTCTGAGAGTAATGCTTTGGATTTCTTTTATATTTGTATGTCTGTATCTTTTTGTTATTCTGTTTTTATGATGGTGATGATTGGCTTTGTTTCAAGAACATCACGGAGGGAAGGATTGCTGCTAGCAAATCTTGGTGAATTTACATTCTTTATTCATCTCTTACAGGCTCAGTTTGACATCACGGTGAGCAGTGAGATTATGGCAGTTCTTGCACTCTCTGATGGGCTGGATGATATGAAGAAGCGACTGGGCAGAATGGTGGTAGCTTCCAGCAAGAGAGGAGAACCAGTTACAACAGATGACCTTGTAAGAGTCATTCCATTCTTAAATGCTTTTTCCTCTTGCTTCTGAAAGTCCTTGGGCTGAAAAGCATAGAGATAGGTCTGTAAAGAAAAAATGTTAGCATATAGAAGATGAAAGATGAAATCTTAGCCCTGCAGTAAGTAAAGGTTCTGTACTTGAGTGTGGCTAGCACCTTACCCAGAGGGCATGTGTGTGCATGTGACCTGGGCCCTGTGTGATGTGCTGTGTGTCAGATTAGAGCTAGCACCATAGGAATTCATGGGGGAATTGCATGATGGCTTCTAGGTTAAAAAGTGTATTTAAGAATTGGAAGAATTCAGAATCCATCCTGTTTCTCAGGCTCCCTGGAGTGAGGAAAACATTGAGGAGGAGCAGTGCCTCATGCAAATTTAACTCCGGGTGATATCTTACTCTGGGAGGCTGTGAATTCTGTAAAAGTCAAACCCTTTTGCAAGAAGTGCAAGGTTTCCATAAATCAGCCTTTGAGGGATAAAAATCCTTTATTTCCACTGCATGAAGAGCTGAATGTATTAGCACTGGTGATGTCTATGAGCAGTCCTAAGCAGCTGTTGCAAGCTGCAGCACTGTCTTGCAGCTGGCTGTGCAAGAATTACTAGTACAGTTCTTGGCATGTTTGTGGAGTATGTCAACTAGCACTGTCCCAGACGGTGCTTCAGGAGAACAGCCTGTGCCCTAGACACTTCTTCCAATAAATATTTTGAAGATGGCAACTCTGTTTGAAGAAGGGAAGGGGAATTCAGCTCTGTATGTGAACTGTGTCCTGCCACTTGGCCTCAAAATACAGAACAGGCTCAGGACTGTTGCAGTCACTATTCAATAGAGATATGATATTTATGCTTACTACTGTCTTGTATAGTAGATATTTCACAGCCTACTTTGCAAAAGACAAGGGTATTAGAAACTTATTTGATGAGGTGTTGATGAGGTTTGTCCTGCATTTTCTGAATGAACATTTCCAGTGGGATAGAAGAATCCACAGGCTGGACATCCTGACCTGTGTTTCCAGCAAGACAAGACACAGCACTAAGGCTCATGTGGCTCTTGCTGTATTTTTTTTTCTTGTGTTTGGATTTTTGTGTGGCTTACTTCCTCCCAGGATAAGCCTGAGAAGCAGTAGATGAGGGATGTGGCTTGGCCTTGCAGGAAAATATCTAGGCTGGGAACCATTTATCTGTCAATGTCTGTACATGACATTTATTAGGAATGGGGGAGGGCATGTGCTGAAGGTCTGTAGGCAGCTTTGAGATCTTAATTCCTCCTGCTAGCGTGTTGCCAGTTTAACCTTAAGTACCTGAGTTAAACCTTGTTCTGGAAAACAGGGGTCTGTCCTGCTGTCCATCAGCAGTGAGGCAGATGGTGCAATATGGTTGTGTGTTTGCATGGCAGCCATTGGCTTGCATCGTTAGGACTGTGTTACATGCTCCTCATGCAGGCAGAAACGTGGTGACTGCAGAGACCAGACTGGCACAATAAGATGTCTGTATCTTTCTGCTGTGGTACAACCAATGTCATGGATGTGCTACCAGAAAACATGAAGAAACTGGGAAGAAATGTGGAATCAAAAACTGACTCCAGATTTTTAGAGATGGGATGTATTGAAGTGCTGCTGAGTGACACAGGCCTAAAATGTCACCATGGAAATCTTTCTCTGCAGTTTTCATTATTCTGGAGATGACTTGAAGTTTGAATCTTACCCATTAAATGTTAATAAGCTTTCATGTGGCAAGATTGAAGCTAATGAAACAAAGCAGTGAATGTATTTTTTTAAAAAATCTTTCATATATTTGAGTGCTGCAATCCAATTGAAATTAGAGGAAGAAATCATGGTTCAAGGTTTTCATTACTGCTGTGAACATTTGGCTCAGTATCCATGATAGCAATTCTAGTTACTTTTGCAAGTGCTGGGTAGCAGCCAGTTTGGTTTCCACTGAACTGTGTCAGTCACAAGGATGACCAAACCCTCATTTTCTCTTCCCAAAGCAGATGTGGGTGAAACCACAAGCTTTCCACTTTGCAGGAAGCAGAATTGCAGCAGGGTATGTTGCTGTACCTCAGAGTAAACATGAGCTCCAGAGTTTGCTTTTCATGATGTCAACCTGTTTTTTGTCATAAGCACAGAGGTTCACTTTAAAAGTTATTTCTGTGCAAGAGACTTAGGGAGGATGCAGCAGCTTGTTATGACATTTTAAGGCCAGTATGTAGAGCCTGGTTGCTGAAATGAGGAAGGAAAAAAAGCCCAAGGCAAATCTACCTGCAAAACCTAAGAAGGCTGCTTTGTGGCACTGAACAGGTTACAGTAAACCATCTGTACCTAAGGGTTACAGTCCCACTGCTGTTGTTTACTGACCTTGCTCTAGCACTGAAACAGCAATTGTTCTTGACCATCACTTTGCAGTGAAGACAAAGCAAGGTTGCAACCAAGAGACTGCCCCCAGCAAAAATTCCAGGTCCTCTTGCGAGAATGTCAAGGTCATTGTTCTGTCTTGCCCTGACAGGAGTTAGTTACATCCAGAGCAACAGCTGGTTCTGGTCCTCAAAACTTACCAGGGCAAAAGCAGAGCCTTGATACCACGTAGGAACTGTCTCAAGGTCTTGGTACATCTGAAAACTAATTGCCTTTTTTGTCTTTTAGGGAGTGACTGGTGCTTTGGCTGTCTTGATGAGAGACGCTGTTAAACCAAACCTCATGCAGACCCTAGAGGTGAGCACAAATGACGTGCTATACGTGCATTCTTGGGGCCAGGAAGCAGCCAGTGTAGTTTGTTCATCGCAGTCAGCGTGGGCTTCCTCACCTCAAGCAGGAGGCTTGCTGTGGTGTCCACCTAAGGCTCAGGGCTAGGGAAGCAGGCTGGCTTCTTTCGAGGCCTGCCATTGGCACGTGGGATGACCCCAGGGAAATGTGCCAAACTTTGCTGTTCTCTGTTCTGTTGCCTTTAATTCCAGGAAACGTTTGGGAATCTAAATGGTGTGGATGCAGGAGAATGGCCCAGAATTGCTGGGATTTAGCCATCCTTTGCCTAAGCGGATTAGTATCTCCACTTGCGCAGATTATTATAATCCTGTTTGCCCTGTAGCCCTTATTACTGATAGCAAATGTTTGATCAGAAGGCTTTAAAATCTGTCTTCTACAAGCATTTTTCTTTACTTTCAGGTACCCTAGTACTTAGCTCCTGAAATGCTGCAGATTTTCTAAACTGTATCATCTGATTTTCTTCCCCTCTCTTTCTCTCTCCCTCCTCTACCCCCTTGTCCCTCCTTTTCTAGGGCACACCAGTGTTTGTTCATGCTGGACCTTTTGCCAATATTGCACATGGAAATTCCTCAGTGTTGGCAGACAAAATAGCACTGAAGCTTGTGGGCAAAGAGGGTTTTGTTGGTAAGTGTGTTTGCTTTTTGTTTGTTTGTTTTGCAGGGAGGGATCTGCCTTCATTGTGACTATCTTTGGGGTTTTTTTGTCGTGGAAGAAGCTTCTGATTTGTATAATTAGAGCATGACTTCTCCACCCAGCAACTTCTCACAAGCTTTTTTTTTCTTAATTCCTACTCCAGTTACAGAAGCAGGATTTGGTGCAGACATAGGCATGGAGAAATTCTTTAATATCAAGTGCCGCTATTCTGGTCTGAGGCCTCATGTGGTGGTGTTGGTTGCTACTGTCCGAGCTCTGAAAATGCATGGAGGAGGGCCTGCAGTAAGTATGAGGCAAGGCTTTCTTTAGACCTGAGGGGATGTCCAAGGCCAAGTTGGATGGGACTTGGATCAACCTGGTCTACTAGAAGATCCCCCTGCCTGTGGCAGGGAGAGCTTGGAACTGGATGATCTTTAAGGTCCATTCCAACTGAAACCTTTCTGCGATTCTGTACTGTTGTTCTCACACAGCCCCTTAAACACCTGCAGGGTTTCATCTTCAATCGTTGTAATTGTCTGAGGTCTGTAGTTGGAAAAGGAATCCTTATGTCCCGCTTGCTCCTAAGTTGCTTCATTGTAGTATCTTACAGCTACCTACCTGCTTGTTTTCTTGTCCTAATGAAGTGCTTGTACGCTGGGCCATTTGTGGTATTACCACAGTCAGTCATTTGTTGTATTGTGGTGCATCTTGTAGTCCTCTATTCTTTGGTTTTCCTCTTCTCAGAGAAAAGAGGATCAGCCTGAAGTAGAATGTTGTATGTTGATGCTGCCTAATGTGAGTCAAGCATGAGTTGCTGTCATGGATAAAAATTTTACAGGTTTCATCCTTTCTCTTTTTTCTTTTTTCCCAGGTCACTGCTGGGGTACCTTTACCAAAGGAATACATGGAAGAGGTAACCTTCTTTAGCTGTTGTGACAGTTGGCCAACTACCTGTAGTTGTGCACTACGTGATGATATTGTGGCATACCTGGATAGCTGGTGTGTCCTTTCTTTAGCTGCCAGGGAAATCTTCCTGACGCAAATTGTAATGTTCTTTTTTTTTTTTTTTAATGTTACTTTGGCCCTGCTCTTTCAAGCATTTATTGTACTTGACCTAGCCAGTATTCAGAGCCTTCTCATTTCTCCTGAGCTCACGCGATTGTCTGTGCACTCAATTTTTCTGCTCTTGTGTCTCCTGACCCTCTCAGTATGGAGTAATTGCTTGGCTGAAATATTGTCTCTGAAAATATTCAGAGTGCCTCTCTAATTACTCTCTTAGCAACAACAGTTTGGTTTTTTTTCTATTCACCCTGCCCCCTCCTTTGCAAGCAGAGAGGAAAGTGAACTGAAGTCTCAGCTTCTGTGCTTGGATAATTGGTCTGATTGTCTTTATATTGCTGCAGCTTTTTCGCTTGTGGAGCTTCTCTGTGGATTATCCTTTGCACAGGAAGGGATGAGATGTCTGGATTTCCATGAGTAGTTTCTGATGCTGCATAATGTAAATGTGTAAAGCGAAAGCTGTTGCCACAGACTTCAAACAAGTGTCAGGAAGTTCACTGCTAATGATATTTAATGCATAAAGAGGAATGTGTCAGAGAGGAAGATGAGGCTTTACTGTGGGGAGTTAATGAGCAGGAGTATTAACTTACTAAGAACAAAAAAACCCACGATTTCTCTTGCCTTGGCTTGGCAGCTGAAGCCTGTGATTATTAGAAGTAGTCATTCCTTCTCCTGTCTTCCATCCAAGAGCAGGCACCCGTCTGGACTGTTCAGAAAGCAGCACTGGGGATTTGTCTTTGTGGTTTCATTCCTATTTTGACAGCTTTATTGTTGGCTGTGGGCACAGTGGATTTGGAACAAAAGTTTTGCTGCCCCTGATAAAATGTGCTTCCTGCTTGCTGTCTTTACAGAATCTCCAGCTGTTGGCAAGAGGTTGTAGTAACCTAAACAAGCAAATCCAGAATGCACGGATGTTCGGTGTCCCAGTAGTAGTGGCTGTCAATGCTTTCAAGTGAGTGAGCTGGGAGGTGGAAGCAATGCATGGGTGTAAAGTCGTGGTACTTGATGTGCAACATTGAGCATAAATGCTTGTTTTCAGTACTGTGGATGTATTATTTGCAGCATTTTACATCGTTGGAAGATGCTGAATAAATAAGGGAGCTCTGCTTAGTCATTCCACCTATATTCTTTAGTTTAAATTAGTTTAGGATTTTATGATCAGTGACTATTATCTGCCATCACTTGCACCCTGACTGGCCAGATCACTGTGGACAAAAAGTGCCTGTGACACTGTGGAATCTGAGCACGTAATAGATGGTGAGGTGCCCTGTGGTTGACCATGCTGTGTTCAGTGATCTGCTGTATGGAATAATTATGCCCTGCTAGGAAGCATTTTGGGCTCTGCATGTTGTACTGCACAGGAAATAAAAGCTGTGTGTGGTCTTTTTATGCAAGCAGAAAGGCTTTGAGCTGGTGTGTTAAGGCTGATGATGGTTGAAGCAGAGCAGATACAGTAAATGCATATTGGGTGCTTAGAGAGATGGTTTTTAGCTTGTTGTGTGCACAAGATCTAGCACCTCTAAATGAGCAATACCAACACCTTTTTGAATTTGCTTCTGAAAACAGGAGTTGCATTGCTGATATAGGACAGGTACAGCAGAGCGCCTGGAACGCTGCTCTGTCAGTAGTTGGGGGTTTCTGCACGTAGTTCTAGAGCTACCTGTTGCTGTCTGTTCTTCCTTCACCAAGGTGGAGAAGGCTGTGGTGGATAGCCCTGCAGCAGCTTCCTGGTGGCTGGATACTGATTTCTTTGGATAGCCTTTGGATGTTGTTGACCAGAGTGAAAAATGGTTGGAACAGTTAATTTACTGTCTGTGCATTCTGCAAACTTTTCTCCTTGCAGGACAGATACAAAGGCTGAACTGGCCCTTGTAGTAAAACTGGCAAAGGAAGCGGGAGCGTTTGATGCTGTCGAGTGCACTCACTGGGCAGAGGGAGGTAAAGGAGCAGTTGCACTGGCCCAAGCTGTTCAGAGAGCATCACAGACACCCAGCAACTTCAGGTTCCTGTACAATGTGGAGGTAAGAACTTGCAGTGTTACAGAGAGAACTTTGTAAGGTGGAGATGGGTTGGTTTCACTAGTTTAAGCTGCTGAAGGCTATCTCAAAGGCTACTCTGAGAAAATGAGAAGCAGTTTGATTTTAACATTTATTCCACCAGTCTTAAAGACCTAGTTAGTCCTTGTTGTTTTGACTACACAGTGAAATGCTGTTTACCTTTGATGCTGAAGGATGCTGCTTTGCCTCTGCTAGAGGTGACAAATGGGTTTCTGCTGTGGCAGCCATGTTCCAGGGTAGGGGGAAGTTCTTGAACTTGAGACATTTATTCTTGTCAGAGCATGGGTGGGAAAAAGCCTGACCAAGCTGGTTACCTTACTGCAGAGCTTTTGGGTGCACTTGTTGCTCAGGTTGGGAACATAACAGGCTATGGAATAGAATTTGTCCATTTTTTAACTTACTTTTTCAGTCTGCGAGTGAGGCTTATGGAGTCACACCACAGGTCAGGGTGGAAGAGTGTCTGCATGTATATTTCTAATGACTCTGTACATTAAGCAAATTTGGCAGAAGACTTTGAGGTGGTGAAGTCACTGTTAGCTCCCAGGTCATGGCCTGAATCCTCCTTTAAAATCAAGCACTTTATCAAAGAACCTAATGATGTACAGATCTATGTCATCATATCTATTTTAGGTCCTGAACACATACTTCCATTTTTGATTCTTTATGCTAACTTATTTGTGCTTTTATTTAACTATTAACTTGTACTCCCTCAAATTATTTTTGTCTGCTTTTTCACTTTGACTTGAGAGAGACTAAAGATGTCTTTTCTGCAGTGGGGTTAATTAACATGTAAACATAACTTAGGGGAAAACTGTTGTCTCTTGGTTTCTGACTGCAGTGAGCTAGTTTTACCCTCTTGCCAAGAGAAACAACTGCAACAAGGTAAATAAGGCTTGTTTTGAAAATCCTCAAATTACTGTACAGTTTTGTTCTACAGCAAATGGGAATAGCTCTTGTATCTGTGTGTGGGCACCACACAACATGTGAGGGATTGTGAAGCTGCTCTGATGTTATAGCTCTTTGTAGATGGGCCACACTGACTTGCTGCTTTTTTTTTTCTAGCTCCCTGTTGTAGATAAGATCAGGCTTATTGCACAGAAGATCTATGGGGCAAGTGACATTGAACTACTTCCAGAAGCACAGCAGAAAGTCGCCTTGTACACTAAGCAAGTGAGTTTCCCACATCACCTGATACTGGTGATGCTTTTCATTTAAAATATTCATATTGAACAATGACGTTCAAACTGAGTGGAGGGAGTCACCACTCAAATAGTGTCCTTGTCCAGGACCCACTTGATGCTGCTGAGGAAGAGGAGGTGATATGAGGAGGGAGTAACTGGCCCTGGGTTGTAGTGAGGAAGACAAAACTCATCTGGCCCAGTAGGACATCTGTGATAGTGTATGGGGAGAGAAGGGCAGGAGGATTTGGTGATCTTTCCTTGCTCTTCAGTCCTTCAGCAGTTTGGGAACTGTGGAGCTGGAGGTGGTCACAGTGGTGATAAATAGTCTCTGATTTTTTTAAAAAAAATCTTGTTTCACTGAGTTGTCTAATCAGTTTCTGAACCCATATCAACTTTTGGCATTTGCAGTTTTTTTGAGGGAAGAGTTGCACAGGTAATACAATACTTCCTGTGGAAGAAAAAAGTCTACTTTTGTGAGTTTTGAACCTGGCATCTGGTGGTTGAATTAGATGCTTTCTGTTTGTTTTGATATTCTAGCATGACATTCTTATGAAACTGCCTGCACCTGCATTAACAAAGGTCTCTAAAAGGCTTTGAAGAGCAATGTGAGAACTAGCCATTTTTTGCTTACAGTGTGCTTGAATAATTTCACTTCTTCAGTCTGTTTTTTTGTTTTCCTTTTAGTTGGATGTGTTGGGGGCACCATGGTGGTTCTTTCTTTAATACTTATCAGGAGGTGAGGAGAGCATTTGAGAGAGGAGGAATGAGGATGTAGAATAGTCTACAGATCTGACAGGCTGTGGGTAAAGGAGTTGGTGAAGAGTAAAATGTCCTGATAAAACATCTGATGTCTGCAGACAATGGCAGAATAGAGCACTTACATTTGTGTACAGGAGAAGTTACTGGTTTTCAAGTATTCCTCTCCTCTTTCTCTCTTTTCTTTGCCTTTCCCAGGGATTTGGAAACCTGCCAATCTGCATGGCTAAAACTCACTTGTCGTTGTCCCACGACCCTGAGCAAAAGGGAGCCCCCACGGGCTTCGTGCTGCCCATCCGCGACGTGCGGGCCAGCGCTGGGGCCGGCTTCCTGTACCCCCTGGTGGGAACGGTACGTCACCCGTGAGACCCTCGCTGTGGGGAGAGCCAAAACCTCACGTGCACTTCAGTTAGCAGCTACAAAAGGCACCTCAAACTAGGAGAGTCCTTGTCATTTACAGTCCACAGTGTATTAGAGATCCTTGATATGCTTCTTTTTGGACAGGAAGAGGGAAGCCAAAATAAATTTGAACATTTGAATGCTTAGCGAGCCCTCAGCGTACCCCTCATGTCCCACATCTGTCTTCCTGGATTTTGAGGAAAGGGTGAGCTCTGCAGCTTATAAATTCTGGGAAGTGCACTCTGGTGGATGGGATAAATCCTTGTCCCACCTAATTGTTGTGACTTTGCATTCCACACTTTGCAGTATTGCAGGTAAAGTCTATGTACACCTGCAGATCAGGGTAGAACAAGACCCCTCCTCCAAAGCTTACAAAGCAAACAACTTTTGATGACATCCCCAAAGTGAAGCTGACCTATACTGTTAATCATTTATCAGCCTCCACTCCCATTTGGAAACCCTGTTTTGCTGACCATCTGTTTGCTGTTGAGCCTGCATCAATTCCAACAACTTATTTCACTGTGCCCTTGAGTTTTTAGTTTCTGTTCTTTGATGCGATTGGCATCATGTCAGCTGAGAGGAGAGAGAGTAGCTACAATGGGAACAGGATCCTGGAACATCTTTGATATGAATTGTGTGGCAGAAAGAGGAGCTACCTGCAAAATGAACTGTTGTTCAGGTTTGCATACAAAGAAAGAATGTTAGAATGGACGGATCCACTGGAAATCTGATCTGGGGAATCTCTTCCAGTTAAGTAACTTGTTAGATTATTTTAGAGGATGGAGCATTTGGAGCAAGCAGCTCTGTCTTTTCCTTATTTTGTGAGCTTAAACCTTTTTCTGAAGTCTTCATGGAAACCTGTTTGCTTTTGCAAGCTTGTTAAAACATTAGGAGTGCATGGCTCAGATGATGAAATTTGCTGATTTATGTATTGTATCCCTTCTTCAAATGCTAGCGAAAGCCAAATATTGGATATTTTTCTTTAATTCATTAGATAAAAAAAGGTAGGTAAGAGTTTCCAGATTACCCAACATAAATAAAATAACCGCATCATTATGAAAGTCTGGCTCATCCATCTTTTTAAAGAGCAATGTGTGTTTTGGGATAAAATGAAAGATAGCATGCTTGTTCCTGTTACTAACAGCATCTTTTTGCAAGCCAAGATTTAATCTGAATGATGATTTCTTTTTTTTCCTTCAATGAATACTGGAGAAGGAAAGGGTACACAGCTTTAATGGGCTACACAAAAGAAATATGTTTTCAGACATTAAAACTAGCATTTTGGCTCTTTTTCCGATATGTTCAGTTTCTCTGAAGTTGGACTTTTTTCTTTCTGCTCCTGATTCAGACTCCTGATGTCTTCTTGGACATGTGGTAAATCATGGTGTTAATTCTGCCAGAATTAATAGTATGTCTTCTGGTTAGGAACATTAAGATTACTCTTCTGTGCATCTACAAAGCCAGGGAAGGGATGTCCTTTTGAGAGGCAATCCAGGGCATTTTGAATTGGATCACTACATTAAACCCATTCAGCA